TGAAGCGGAAAGCGGAAAGTATCTTTTTTTGCCTTTTTACAGTTTGATTTTGTTTTCATACTTTATTGCTCAAAATTAGTGCAGAAGGAAACGGAACTCGAAAAAAAGTTGAAGGAGGAGCAGAAATTGCTGGAGAGTGTTGCCGGCCGCACTGGTAGGTTGTTTTTTGAGGCTTATTTAAATATCATATTTACAAGGTAAAACATTTTAGCACTTATGGCCGCAGCAGAAATCGCCAAGGGTATTCGATACAAGGAGCCCATTAAAACTGGGTACGCTTTGGTTTTTTCCGGTGTTATTTTCTATGTGATCACTGTTTTTTCACTAGCTGGCACCCACCTCGCTATACGTTGACTCGTAGCGAAACTTATCTTCAAGCCATGAGGAAAAAACTTGGAATTCTTGCTGAAGGGGAGGACATTCCTCCGCTTCTTCGAACCTTTCAGGCAAAATTTAGTTGATTTCTAACTTGCGGTATTTTTAAAATTTTTTCAACCTGTTTCTATTGTTTTTTTTATTTTTGTCTTTCTGTTTTATCATTCTCGCATGATCGACTTTTCTAGGAGATGAAGTTTCCCCCATGCATTTTAGAAGCCTTAAAAGAGAAAGGAATAAAAATGCCGACGCCTATTCAAGTGCAGGGTATTCCCGTTGTGTAAGTAGTACATTTTAAATAGACGCTTACTGAACCAGTAGTACCGTATATTTTCCAATCCCGTCCTGAGTTGAGCAAATTTTTACCTGAATTTTACCTGTTTCTGCATGCTAATTACTTCGCGGCGCGTTATTGTTGACAGTTTATGACTGTAAAATACTGGGGACGACGTTTTGAAGTCGTCTCTACTGATTTTGTTTCCGAATTGGACAGGAGTGTTCATATAATGTATATGTTGTCGAAACCTCATATTGATTCTGTTCATCGTTCCTCAGAATTAATTGAGATCCGTTAGCTGTCGCCGCTTCAGTGGGCCAGAATGCGTCAGAGTCACTTTCGATTACCGCATATAGTCGAGGCAGATGAGTCAGACAGTATCTTCAACGTTTCTGATAAAATGCCATCATTTGAGCTTCGACGGAAGATAACCTGAGTCTGGAGATGCTTGTCGAGACCTTGTCTCAGGTCATTCTTTCCCACTCCGGCGTGTTCCATCGGTCAGATGATCAAGCAGCGGCTGATTCACGTTCTTGCTGAAGATATTCACAACCTAGTCACAGCTATGACTTCTCAGTCTGCGGATATATATACTCTTGACCATGCCGAGACGTGTAAACCCTGCGGTTGGATTAGAAAGATTCTGTTTGTAGAAAGATTAGGAAGTCCGCTTGTACCCAGGGTCGAAGTTTCTCACCGTGATTCATCCCCGTAGGTGACTATGGGGGGGGTGAAGATCGACTTGAACGTAGACACTTTAGTCTTGAGAATCAGCTGTGATTCAGTCACAAGTTTTGGGATAGTCCAGTTTGAACGCCGCTGACCATTCCAATTCACCGGTCGATTTCTTCCCCCCTCTTTCCATCGCTGTGCGATAGTTTACTCAAATATGTTAGAGGTTGTAATTTATTGGTGTAATTTTGCGTGGTACATTTTGAGTCATTATACCAGTAGAATCAGAAATCAAATTTCGGGTCTTTATGCAGAACAAATTTTATGCGCAAGAAATAAAGTATGTATTTAATCCGTAGTCAGAAACTTCCTTCTGCAAAAATATATTTCTCTAAAGCATCTGTTTAAATCTAGAACGTATGTTAATATTTAAGAGAGCTTTTGGTATGTTAATGTTATGTGTTATTCATAACCATTGCGGTTGTTTAGGCTCAGTGGACGGGATATGATCGGAATCGCTTACACCGGTTCAGGCAAGACACTCGTTTTTGTTCTTCCTATCATTATGTATTGTGTAGAACAAGAACAAGAGTTGCCGTTCATTAACAACGAAGGCCCGTATGGACTAATCATCGTTCCATCGGTATTCATTCGAGTACGTTTTCTGATTTATGTGAAATGTCTTTTTAAGCGTGAGTTGGCCAAACAAATCTGCGACATAATCGATCACTTTACTTCCGCGCTTCGCAGAAGTGCACTGCCTTCTCTTCGGCATTGTCTTTGCATCGGAGGTATGCCTTTAAAAGAGCAGATAGAAGCGTTGAAGCGGTACGTTTCTTCATAGTCGTCTTGTGTCTATATTGCCATGTCAAGCCTGCATTCCTTTCAGCGGCGTTCACATTATGGTGGCGACACCTGGTCGTCTAATTGATCTACTGGAGAAAAAAGCCATAAGCCTCGAAATCTGTCGTTATCTATGCATGGACGAAGCGGACCGCATGATAGACATGGGATTCGAAGAAGACGTCCGAACGATCTTCTCATACTTTAAGGTATGACTATTTTATGTTGTTTTCATTGCAGTTCGTGTTTATTGTTTAAGTGTCTGGGACTTGTTTGTTGGGTAAAAT